GGAAATGCTAAAGTTAATAAAATTGGAATTGTAAATTATGCCCACAAACTCCGTTGTGGAGGAAAATTATTGTTGATGGATACACTATTATACTAACCTTGCATGGGAAGGAATTCAAAAAGTGTCTATTATGACAATCACTTATTTATGGAGGAAGATGGGAACCACTCCATGAGAAATTAAGGAAATTTGCTCTCACTTAACGGTATGCACATTGTGAATATTTGCATTAAATATTTATATGTCAATATTTTTTCAAATAGTTGGAATGTGGATTTAAGCTTCTATGTATTATATTGCTGGAATACAATAGCAATTTTATTAACATCCTAACAGTACCAAAGGAAATTATATATTTTGTGTGTTTTTGCCATTGTTGCTAATCTTATACACTTTGGAATTGGAAATTTTGCCATGAAACTCCTTGATGGAGGAAAGGTATTATTGTTATGCGACACACTATGCAACTTCAGTGTGTAGGGATTTAATTGTTGGTTCTATCTTGGAACCCATTGTTTACGAAATACTATTTGGAAAAGGAAGAGTGGAAATATTGCTCAATGATAAAATTAGTGCATTACGGAATTTCACACGATGGTCTATTCTTTCTTGATGGTCCATTGGAAGTTAGAAACCTAAATTGTTGTTTGGGGAAGATGACTCCATAGAGAGGAATGCTGATAATGGGAATTCATGCTTGGGATTTATTATGTTTGTCATGGACGACTTGGTCACATATCATGGAACCGAATCAAGTGGCTTACTGATTCAGGAATTCAAAACTTTAGTGGAAGGAATTTGGTTTTCTGAAGCACATATATAATGGGTATTTGACTTGCACGCCTTTTCTTAAGGTGGAAGGAGGCAAAAAGCTTCACATCATTTTATATATACATACTTATGGTATTTTTTTTCGACACTCCCACTAGAGGTTAGATTGTTTATCATATCACTCATTGATGATCACACTTTATATGGTTATATGTTTACCTTTCATTAAACAAGTCGAAAAGTTTTATTGTGTTGTTCACATAATGTACTGACGTGGAGAATCAGTTGATTAAAGGATTTCAAAGTTCTAACAACTGATTCGTAGGGGAAGTACACTTCAGGAATATATCAATTGAATAAGTGCATGGAACTTTATTCACCATTGTAATATATTGTCTACTTCATATGATATGAGGAATTGAATATCTTTAATACTCCTGTATACTTCACAATTGAGTGGAGGAAGTAAATATCTTTGATACTTCTTTTTTCTTTGGAAGAAGCATTGCATATTGCATTTTATACCATTTTTCATCTACAGTCACTCCTTATGGTTTGTGGACTGGACTGGAAGGAACTATTTTATTTTGAAAAGAAGTTCTCAATTACTGCACAACATACACCAGGTTTTGCTAATTGTTATTCTAGTGGGTCAAGGGTATGGATTTTGATCTGGAAAAGGAAAAGTGGTGGAAAGTGGGAGCCGGTATTTTTATGGATAATGGTGGAATTATTGGCAATTATACTAGAATATAATCTTTACCCCAATGGAGAATACAAGTGAAACTCCTAATACTAATATGCTTAGGATAAGTGGGAGGAAATAACTTGGAAAATCATTTCTAGATAATTATCGTGTGTTGCTGGGGGAAGTCACTCTAAATTTTTCTGAGGAATAATTAAAGTCTCTTAAGAAGGCTTAAATTTTCTATCAATGCACGGTATGGGTGGAAGTAACGCGGGAAGAAACTCAACGAGGAAAGATAGAAGTTTGGGAACTTATTGTTTTTACCAAACAACTGCAGCCCATATGTTTGGAATCAGGAGGAAAATAATCATATATGTTGTAGCCGGAAATCTTTGGACAAAGAGGAAATATGAAGTTTGCAACATAATATATCAATTTGTGGCCTTGAAACAAGCTTCACATCAATGGAATAGCAGGTCATATGGTCTTATAAATGGAGTGAGGTGACCATGTACAAAGGTATGTGAAAATTGCATTATTATATATGTTACTTTGTTATTACTATTTGCAATGATAAAGTCACGTTGATGGAAGTGAAAGCTTGGCCATATTATAACTTTCATATGAAAGGAATGTTTGAAGCTTCCTATGTTTTGGGAGTGGAACTACATAGGGAATATTTTGAAATATTTTCTATGGAAAATAGCAAACTTGTTAAAATACCTTGATAAGAGAAATCATACTCAGTGAGGAATTATGTTTGGACTCATGAGGAGAAAGGGGATACTAAATGGTATTGGAATTTGAATATATTTTCATTATACTATCAACCTTAGCTACCGGAATTTATTGTCGCGCATTCAGGCGGTGGAAGGAATTATGTGTAGCTAAGGGAATTTCACACGTCATATATGATCGTGGAATGTGCATCACAACCTGTCACTTATTTGTATAATTCATTTATTTGTATAATAATACTAATATAGTGCAGGTTCACTGACTATAGTCAGGAAATTCTTTTCAAAACATGTTTACACATGGAACTTCATTTATTGATTAATATGTTTCAGCCAAGTGGGAGATGTTGGATATTTTTGTGGCTTCAACATTTACTCAACATGGTTATTATTTATTTAACTCAATCTGGAATTATTCATATTATTAATGTTTGTGACGGGGAATAATTGATGCGGAATTTAACTCGAGGAAGTAATACTCGAGGTGCCGAGGATGTGATGGAATACAATAAAGGAATTAATAGGGATCGACTCTACTGGAATTTATATGTACGTATGTATTTTTTCCGGGACATCACATGGTGGAAAAGCTGGGTTTGTTTTGCTGGACCGGCTCTGCAGGCTGTTGACCCACATGATTAAGATTGGAAATTGATCTCACATATACAATCTAATCATGGCACATGACTCACACATGTGTGCTAGAGACTAGTATATTTAGATTCGAAAAACTGGCATGTTTGATCGTGGTTGGTAACATTGCCCAGGAGTCACACGGATCTTTCCGGAAACAGGTGGAATAATGAAAAGCCTGGAGTCTATAAATAGGTCCCTACCCTCTAGCCTCAAACGCATTGTGAGCGGCACCACGGAAAAGGCAGAGGAATTAGAGGGTAGACCGTGTAGTCCAAAATTTCCAACAGTATGGTCGCAGAGATGTAGACTAAGAATATGAACATCTTAATATTATTTTTCCACTAATATGCATATTCCGAAGCTTCAAGGCAAACTAAAAGGGTAAAAAAATTGGTTAAAACCACAATTTGAAATTCGGATTTGCTAATTCACATTTAGATGTTTTTAACTATGTCATATCCAAGTTGTCCACCACGTGATTAGGGGCTTTAAGATTTGTGCAAACTGTATTTCTAATTTTTACGTGAACCATTGTTTTTGGTTGTCTCCAAGGCTAGTGTCGCGCCAGTGTCCTTGGGACTGTTTCTCAGATCGGCCTTGTCCCTTTTCCTGTACGGGTCTGGGTATGTGTTTTTTTCCATTATACTAGTACAAATGCATGTGCATTGCATCGGGCGAAAAATTAAAACCTGCTCCACTTGCCATTATGCAACACTTCTTTAATCCAATTTTTGCAAAACGTCAAAAATAAGACTACATTGAGTATTTCTTTTTTGACCATGAAATTTGGACGTACCCTAACAATGTTCGTCATGATCTATTTCAGTTCTCATGCATTGCAACGAGAGTAAAATATTACCACCTGCCCCTAACCCAATATATAAGCCGAGTATAATCGCACATATATGTTGTTGAAACAAACCATTGATCACGGATGCACTTGCTAGGTTGCTTGATCGGAAAAAGCACTGCCTTGTGCCATGGACGTCGGCATTTGATGTTGTGGACCAGATTGACCAGTGATCTCGCACATGATTCCTTCTCTGCACTATCTGTATCGCCCATGCACACATAGATGGACTTCTTGGGATCGACATGAGTAGCGGAAAAATAAATAAACATATGCTTACTAACCTATAAAACTAATTAACACTCGAACAAATATGTTTGTGCATACAACTCAAACAACTTTGCAAATAGCAAAATAATAGTATAAAATTGTTCAAAAGTACCAAGGTCCATTCTTGGAAACAATCCATTATCAGATAGAAGAGAGTCCAATCCTCTCCTATTACAACATCACATATGATATAAAATCAGAACTTTCAAGTTGTAGGTTTAATAAAAATTTAATTCATAATTTTGCGTGTCTAGAACTAACTCGTTGTCTTGATTATAGATTCAATTTTCAGTAAATTAATCAGTGGCAGTGAGCTACATATGCACATGTTTTTATTCCCCTCATCCAATATCATTAATGAAATGATGTACTAACAAAAAATACATCATAAAACTCCCATACACAAAAAACAGCATAAGCCAATGTGCTTTGATTGGATATTTTTTTGTTTATGCAGAAATGTACTGACCAGACCGAATTACTAAATTATCTCATGAAGTTTCAGGTCGTCTTCACTTTTTTTGTGTGGAACGTCTCCACCACGAGCAAGTTCCAAGTGAACATTACACTCTTGCACATATGTACCGTTGGAACTCTAAATTTCAATACGTACATTTGTTCAAACCTTCAAGCTGCTCTTTGTTAGCGGTTGCGTGTTCCAGAGGCACAGCAAGCCCCATCAAGCTGCGATTCCGCGAGGAAGCATCAGGGGCAGCAGTTTTTTTCTATGGTGTCTTGCATGCAATGCTTCTTCACAAAGTAACAAAAAACACCATCTATTTAGTAACGAAGATCAATAACACACCTCAAGATCAATAATACCTGGTCACTAAAACATCAGAAAGTCTCTCGTGTTGAAAACTTGAAATGCATTAGTACATTGATCTTTTACTTTCATAAGCAAACTTCCATTGATCTTTTGAATTCTGATTCACCTATGTCAAGCTTCTATCCTGCGGCACCTTTTCTCGCAAGGCTGAATACTGAAAGGTAGACATGGAAACAAATCAAGTATCCTTATAGTTTTCTAACCCATTGGCTTTAACATTCACGTTTCTACTACCGATTCTTCTAAAATGCTGTTGCCCACAATCCGTCCCATGTCACCAAAGTGGGGGGAAAATTCACCAAACTGTGGATTGTTGTGTGCTTTGGCCATTGCAAAGAGAGGCGGGCATCGTAGTAGGTAGCTTAGCCAGCAATGGTAGTTGTCGTTGCTTCTTGTCTTGCTCCTCCTAGTCGATGCTATTACTGTTTCTGCCTGAAACACCTGCGCATGCAGCAAAAAAAATTCAGAGATATAAAATGACAGTAGAGGGATTGTACGCCGTGCCACCCTTAGGCCGCCTCCTGTGCCATTTTCAAACCTCCGCATGGCTTAACTGCTCCGGCAACGCCCTCCTAGAGGGAGGAAAAACAGAGAGAGGACATTTGAACTCCTTTTCTGCTCTGTTTCCGGTCTTAGCGGACGTACGCGGGCAGGGCCAACACAGGGTCGCAGCTATAGGAGGCGCGCTTCAGTTCGACGGCGGTTCACTCAACGTTGTTGTAGATAACAAGATCTTCTCCCCCTCCGATGATGCGCCTGACCCGCTGCTCCAGGGAGGTCACATCCCGCTGTGGAGGACGACCAAAGTCTCTGAACAATATTGCTGGTCTATTAAAATAATTTGGCAAACTGGAATATTTATAGTTCCCTAGGTAGGTAGTACATGAATTTACAGCAGGATACATACCAGTCATCTCAACAAAAAGATCGTGATCACATATAATTTGCAGGAACGACAATTTGCAATCATGGAAGTCCGACTGGCAAACCCCTGCAGACTTGTCCATATACAATGACACCTGATGAACAGATGCTTAATTATGCACATCAGTACTTGGAGTTCATAAATCAACAGTAAAAAGAAACAGTTCAATCTTCAGGCAAAGCAAACCAAATCAACAGTCAAAAGAGTAAATAAGTTCAAATGAACACATATATGAGATTAGATGATCGTAGCTGAAAAGAAACAGTTCAATCTTCTGGCAAAGCAAGACTTATTTTGCAGAGAAAATTCGGGAATTCAAAAGAATAAATAACAAAGAACCAAGGGGAGGGACAAATTTAATGTGGCAGGCTTCATTACCATCTCAAAAACTTGGCGTGGCTCAATGATTGATAAAGGGTCCTAACAGAAGAAAGCAAGAGTGTTGTTCAATAGCTTCGCCAAGTTTAAACCCGTTTTACACGGACCAGCGATGCCACCTAATATATGCCCATGCGTTGCAACGGGAGAAAAAAAAATCATGCCCCTAACAACACAAACATGGCTCAAGACTCCCAATAGTGTACTTAACAATAGTTTGTCAAAAGTTAATAATACTCCTGTTTCTAAGATAAGATAGTGGTCTCCCAATAGTTGGTCAAAAGTTATTGTTAGCCTCCGAATCAAACAATACACATATGAGTAAATAAAGTCATTGCTTGATAAGTTAAAAGTTCCAAGCATTTTATTTTTAGAACACAGGGAGACTGAAGCATTACAGTTTAGTGATTTACCATACTATGTAGCTGGTTGTAAAAGGTTCTGTCGAAGTCAACCATACAAATATCGATCCAATATAAAAAAAACTTAATTTGTGCGCTGCCGTTTCAAAAAAAAATTATGCCCTGAAGTGGGATATGGCAAAAATTCATACTTGTACAAGGTGCAAGCGAACCATAATTTTGATGAATGTTTAGCAAGCTGCAAACACACAAGAAGCAGTCTGGCATATTATGAAGCCACCGGGGAGACATCAGCTGCTAGGCCACAATGGGCATCTCCTAATCCTGCTCCTCCGCTCACTCCTCGATAGATACAACCTGGGAGAATCCTTACAGGTAGGTGAATGTCAATCACCCGGTCTGTTATGATTTGGTCGTGCAATATTGTCTAGATACCGCAAGAATCAAATAAAATGCGCTGATATAAAGTAGATAGCATTACTCTAGTTAGCATAGCTCAGTATTTGCATCTTTCAATCAGTGAAGGATCCTTGACTCTAGAGATCGGGGTAAGCATAAATATGGGATGCTTCAATATGGCAGCTCCTTCCCTCCCTCCCTGTCTAAGTGCAAGCGGATGCTGGGCATCCAGCAGAAACCTATGATGGACTTGATGACTGAATCCAAGCTGTTCAAGGAGGACGTCTCCAAGAGGACAAAAGCTAAAAGTGGATTGAGCCTCAAAAAATAAAGATAATGAATGCATGACAGACATAACTTAGGGTTGCGACGGATACATACTGAATAGTGGCAGTTTTAGAAGAATCTGACGCATCATTCATCCCGTGAAACATATCAAAATTGACAACGATGTGAAACCCATACCTACAGATGAGAGCACACAGGATCAAGTATGATTAGCCACAAGGCTCTTGTGTAAGTAGTAGAATGGTGTTGCAAATTCTGAACTTATATCAGTATAAAGAAACTTGGATATTGCCCTACTTATATCAATATATTAATTCGAACCAGTGTTACAAACTATATTTTCGTGGAAAATGAACTTAGAGGGTTTGCCAAATCTACCAACAAACAGGAGCAGTGATAGCTGATGCACTTCCGATCTTTTATACTATCAAAGACAACAAAAACAATGGTAACATATATCATTAGTAGCCAAATCTCAGTAGTAAAGTAATATATTATGCTTAGCCAGAGCCAAGAATTGAAGTGCTTCAGAGTAATATACCACCTCAAGAACCAAGAATCAAAAGTCATTTCCAATCAAAAAAACTCTCCTAAACACTACAGATAAGCATCTGATGATCAAATAGATGTATCATTTATAACTACCAAGATATATATTTGCAACAATAAGAAAAATGTTTTTTTTGACCCGGGCTAATCCCCTTTCCATTAAAAATATAACGGAAATACAGCCAGTTCCAAGTTCAAACAAGGGAAAGGGAAACAGCGGGATCAAGCACTTCAGGGAAACCCGCTGTGAGCGCTCGCAATCGAAACGCCCACTACGAGGCGAAAACCCTGAAGCACCATCAACACGCATCGAACCAAACTAAAGTTCAGATCACAATACAACCCCGCATCAAGGCATCACAGTTATGCAGAACAAAAGAAACAAACTCCACACAAACGCTCTCCAGAGTCTTTAGTGTCTCAAATCGATCACTTCAAAAGGCTTCAGCAATGTCTCAGGCCTCCCAATAAGAAAAATGTAAAAAATTATTATTGTGTATATAATACTCACTTACGAAACCTTTTATCCCAAACAAGTTGGGGTAGGCTAGATATGAAACCCTTTCACGAGGACTTCCCAGGAGGTCACCCATCCTAGTACTACTCTCGCCCAAATGGGTTTCATACCCAAAAGACTGGCTAGTTTTTACATTGGCTCGCCAAGCCTATCACAACCCTTAGATATGAAACCCTTTCACGAGGACTTCCTAGGAGGTCACCCATCCTAGTACTATTCTCGCTCAAATGGGTTTCATACCTATGGGACTGGCTAGTTTTTACGTTGGCTCGCCAAGCCTATCACAACCCTCCTCCTTTACCCGGGCTTGGGACCGGCTATGCCTAGAAGACATAGGCGGAGTTATTGTGTATATAATACTGCCGTTAGAAAAAAAGATTGTAGGTGAGTCAGTTATTTGAGTATTGGCCCATTACTTGATGCTTTTGTCAAGAGCTTTCCGATAATAAACATCATCATAAGCAAAAAAAATCGGGTTATGAAGGTGAATAGCGTGTGTAAATCTGATCCAGAAATGCTCTATGTACTACTCCTGGACCAAATATATTTCTAAGATTAGTCAGTACAACATAAAGTAGTTAGTACAGCATAGAGTAGTCACTTATCTGAACCCCTTTCCTCACGATCTGAAATAAAATAAAAGAGCAATACCTTCAGGGCGATTGATTGCTAGCTTTCTAGTTAACTCATGTGCAATTTGTGATAGAGGCAGTACAAGCATGTATCCTTATCCTGCTATATAACTGTCGTACGGTTAAAAGCAAACGAATTTGTCCCAAATAATCCAAGTAATTGGACTGCAAGATGAAGGTGCATACAACATCCAATTCTGCTAGTGGTCTTCCGCACTGATTTTTTTTGTTCTTGAACCTAGCGGGAACTGAAGAAGTGATGGAGGCTGGGACCCCAGGACACGCACTTCAGCAATGGATTTTGTAGAGCCGAGAAGTGATGCCACATCTCGCACTTATCGGCTCAAAACGAAATCTAGAAGAAGCATACGAAAAAATAATGTAGTACCTGTGTACGTGGGATCGATCCATGGCTCCCATGCCCCGCAGCCAGAAAAATCAAGAAGACAAACTTTTTTTTGAGACAAGAAGACAAACTTGAGCATACATATTAGGACATAGTCAACATACTCTATGGGGGCAATTTGTGGCTGGGGTCAAGCCCTTCGTGGCCCGAGCTGGCGGTTGAATCCATCTACGCTGCTGCTGCCAATCTAGCGCGGGGCTAGGAGGGAGGGAGCAGTGCTGCTGCCGGTCCAGCCCAGGGTGTGGACGGAGCGCTGCTGCTGGGCTCCCAAACTGATCCGGTGGTTGCCCATCGACCGGATCCAGCCCCGCCGCTGCCGCTCTCCGGCAGGTCGCCGCATCGGCCGAATCCATCCCTCCTTCGCTAGAACCTGCCTCTCGCCCCCGATCCAGTCCACCTCGGACCGCTGCACCAGATCCGCTGTTTCCCTGCATCGCCCTGGAGCCGTCGCGCCCTCTACGTCGAGCCCTGCCGCATTGACCTGGACGAGGACGCGACGACGCGAAACGTTATCATACGCATCGTTTATACTCCCTCCGTTGCTAAATATTTGTCTTTTTAGGATTTCAAATAGACTACCATATACGGATGTATATAAACATATTTTAGAGTGTAGATTCACTTATTTTGCTCCGTATGTAGTCATTTGTTGAAATCTCTAGAAAGACAATTATTTTGGAACGGAGGGAGTATTTCCAAGGACGTGCGAACCCCAAATTAGTACCACCACGTTTATATTACGGTCTTGTCTATACAAATCGTAAAAGCGTATTATGTCATGAGAAGAAAACATATTGTGACGATGAATCCACGGAGTCAATCCGTACTTTATTATTAGAGAAAGATGTGCCGCTGCTCCGCTATTTTCATTTTTTTTGTCTACGCCCAGGCCTTTTTGTAAGGGTAGAACTGAAAGAGCTGGGCTGCATTATTTTTCGTTTCCCTTTCTTTTTAATCAATTAAATTAATATTCATTTGTAATTTATAATTTTTAAAATTTGATTTTTTTGGCGATGTCAGTTGCATGTTCATCATCAAACACGGACGAATAACTAGTGTCATGGAAATTTATACAGGTGTGACCATGATT